AGGGTATAAAGAAGGCTTTGACGGGCTGAAAGGGGTTCAAACTTCAAAGGGGGGTGCCTTGTTTGATTTTTTTACTTGTCTTTCATTATCTAATGATTTTGTGAGGAATTCTGATCGGGTGCCGTGTTTGATTTTTCTACTTGTCTTTTATTATCTAATGATTTTGTGAGTAATTCTGATGGGTGCACTGATGCAAAAGAGTTGTTTGCAGTGCGGGTCTACTCCGCATAGTTTCTTTCTGGTTTAACGTATATGTTATTATTTTTCATGCCGGGTGTCACTCAGCGGCGAGTGACAAACGCAAACGCGGAAAAAAGAATTTTTTTTAGGGGTAATTGCAGAAATAGAGTGTTTTTGAAGTTTGGCGGCAGAAATGTTATACGGGTCCGAAATATCTATTTTTGCAAGGAAAGCGGGACCTCGCCCTCAAATATTATTGCTGTGAAACAACCGGGAGCTCTAAAACTGCAACGAAAGATATATTTTTGCAACCAAACTTGGGCACCGCCAATATTTTTGCTGTGAAACTACCACGCCCCGATATTTTTTAAACTTACCCTTTTTTTAAGAGCGCAAAGTTGCAATGCGAATGTATCGAACGGATTGACTCGACTGCGATCCAAGGAAAAGAACGGCGCATGTCTCCGCACGAAAGCAACCAACTTGTGACCAGGGCGACCACTCCAGAGTAGAATAGCAGGTCAGACTCTGGCTGCGGAACCTGGATCTGTTTGGCGTGTAGAGATTAGCGCTCCCTCGACAGATTTCGGATTCAGTCAGTCTTTGCAGAGTATCAGTTGTCCGGCAGTCTTTGATTTTCAATCACGACTAATTGGGGTGAAGGTGGATTGTATATTACCACACCCGTAAACCACCAGTACTTGGGCACTGCGCGCCGCCGCACTGCGCGCCGGAGGTCGAAGCGACACGGGCTGTGGATTCGATTTATCCACGGCCTGCGGGCTGCAAAATTTTCGTAGCGTTAATGCTAAGGCCGGCCCCAAGTACTGGTGGTTTAAGGCTTTAACCCCCAGGTGTAAGCATTATAGACTGCTCAATAACAGGTAGCCTGCAGGGACTGGAAATACGCTTTAGGGCACGCTAAGCTTTACGCCAAACAGATCTACAGCTAGCAGTCAGGCCAGCTTTCTCTTTGATCTGGCGGTCGCGGTCACGACATGGTTGTTTTCGCGGTGTGACGTGTGTTGTTCTTTTCCGTTGGCACGTCTCACCGCGGAAACACTGAATTCACGACCAGGGCCGCCAAACTCGAAGAGACTACTGTCCTCTAACAGAATTCATTCGCGTTGTGAACTAATACAGCCGACTAGGTTGCTTTCTATCCGATTAGAACGCATGCGCGTTCTATTCGAAAAGAAGCCGTGATTTTCGAATACAACGCATGTCACGGCATGTGTGTTCTATTCAAATTTTTGTTTTTTTTTGAAAACTCGAGTACAAAGCATATGCGACATGTTCGGGGGAAGATGGCAGCGTGCATGGCTGCAGGATCTACAGCTGTTTGGCATAGAGTTTAGCACTCCCAAAGCAGATTTCGCACATAGTCCTTGCTTGGGTATCAGGTGCCGGGCAGTCTTTTGGTGATATAATCCACCTGTACCACAGTTGCAGTGAGACATGTGCTGTTCTTTTCCTTGGATTACAGTCGATCTTGTTGGTATATTAACATCACAGTTCTGCACTATGAAACCACCAGTACTTCCTTGAGTCGTGCCCGCATACAAGCCACAATTTAAGGAAACGCATGGGCCTCTACAGGAGTGCCCAAATTCATCTGACAAGGAACATTTGTACTCTATTTTTTTTTCTTTTTCTGTGGCAATAGCTGGGCCAAGCACTGGCAGTTCAAGCAATTTCGCTTTCTTCGGCAGTTGTGTTTTTCCCTCACGGCTGGGGGACGTCCAACGTGTTTGCATAGCGACTCTTCTCCTCTCTACGCGGTGTGGTACAATGTCAGACTCAAATCTGATGCCGCTTTTGAAGCCACCCTCGAACAATGCTTGTGTGGCCCAATGGTAGACGGACGTGTTGATCGCGGTGTCCGTGGTGTGGTGTTGTGTGTGTGTGGTGTGAGTTCAAAGACGCTACAGCCCTGGAGCTGGGCTGGATATCACGACCGGCATGGATCCAGTTTGTATAACACCGCCAAGGGTTGTAGTGGTTTCGAAACTTTGTTCGTGAAGCGGGTGTCGGTTCGAGCCCGTGCGTGCATGGCGGGGGGCCTGATGCCCTAAAATACATGTTGKTCAGTAGGCTGAGGGCGTCGGTTGGAGCCGGTGCGCGGTTTCGAAACTTTGTTTGTGAGGCTGAGGGTGTCGGTTCGAGCCCGTGCGTGCACGGCGGGGGGCCTGATGCCCTAAAATACATGTTGGTCAGTAGGCTGAGGGCGTCGGTTGGAGCCGGTGCGCGCACACGGCGGGACCTGATGCCCTAAAATACATGTTGTTAAGTAACTACTGCCCAAGAATCCCGCTGAGACAAAATGAATGGAAGAACCCAGAGAGACCTGGGGCTGGTCTGTCCGATAATGATACATCAAGGCTGTCACCCTTTGGTGCTTGTAAGTGGGGGCATGGTTCATCGCGAGGGATGATGAGGGAACATATCGACGAAAAAAAAAATGGCGAAATGAGCCACATGATGCAAACAAAATACCGAGAAAAGACCAAGGTGATGGCGCACTCCCAACCCACGCACAGGCGCACAGACATGTTTCACCGAGTTGTGCATACCGGACATGACAACACATACACACACACCTACACCCCTCCAGACACAAGTTCATGCACGCAAGTTCACACACTCAATCGAACACACACAAAAACACGTTAGAACCAATTCGCACACATGCGAGCAGCGCCGAGCACTCACCCACACACGCACCCTTGCATGGAGGGACATGCACGCGCACAGTCATATTCGGTCACGCTCAAGGTTCATCCTCTTGATCCATGATGAGTGGCCAAGGGAATGGTTCGAAGGCCCATGGGATTGTGCTCAAGTAGGAAGGGTCTATTTGTAAGGTTTTTTCCCACCTTTCTGCTATGACTGGTTGTGGGTTTTCTAGTTTGCGTCTTAACTTATACCCTTTTTTCACCGTATATTCATGCAGTGCAATCCATTTCCTAGCTCTGCCCCTCTCTCTGTTCTGGTACCAACCSCACTYGTTGGGGTSGATTTCTAACTCTGATATGTCTTTGTTTGGCCTGAATAACCAGGTAGGAGTTTCTGTCCCCTTTCTTCCTTTCTTTTGTCTCTTCTGCTCGTTTTTTAGTTCTCYAACTTTTCTTAGATCCTGTAGACTAAAGTCTAAATTGACTAGTGTGACTTTTCTGACCAAAACTATTGTTTTGTCTGTGTTTTCTAGTTCATGTACTTCGAATCTAGCTATGCTCCTATCTGTTCCCTTGTGGCTTATGAATCGGAGGGCTATTGAGGGTGTTTCTTGGGCTTTCAATGTTGCCCATTCTCCTTTCTTCCAGGCTCTGCTCTTTTTTAGGGTTGCCCTCCAGGCTATTGGGATGCTGTCTTTTAGTATTTCTAAGTTTTTCTGTAAGTTGTGGTGACCTCTCAGTTTTGTTCTAAGTTCCCCTTCTGACTTCCATTTGTTATTTCCTTCATCCCATAGGTGCTCGATCTTTCATATGCCTCTCTCAACCCAGGTCCTCCATCTCTTACCACTCCCATTGAGGGACCATGTCTTTCCGTTTTGATCGTTCAGTAGATCGTTCCCAGAAAGGGGTTGTCTCAGGATTTCTTCCTTTGACTTTGGGCCTCTTTTTCTTTGTGGGAAGGCTTGTCTCCATACTGCTACTAGCTTTGCCCAATGTCCGCTTGGGGGGTCTGGGATTGGCATTCATCCTCCCTGTTTGGATCTGCTTCCTTCTCTTCTAGGTGTCCAGTATTTGTTCATGAGCCATGTATGGCCGTTGATGTTGTCATGTGCTTTAAATGGGAGCAGGTTCCTTATTTGATACAGGGCCATTTTCTGCCATGGTAGTTCCAATTTGAAGATTAGTCTCAGAATCCACTTTGTCTGGAGAGCTTTGTATTCTGTTGCGGGGTCAATGAGGCTGAGCCCTCCTTCCTCTGCTGGATTTGTTACGTATTTCCACGCGACCTTGGATATAAATTGGTTCTTGGATGCGTCCCCTGTCCACAGGTAAGCTGATGCCTTTTTCCTAAGGTCCTTCGTGAAAGTTGTGGGTGGATCCCACACTGATGCTGTTTACCAGATCATGGAGAAAACTGATGAGTTGATGACTAGTGYTCTTCCCACCAGGGAASTGTATATCTTTTGYCATCCCAAGTACTTATTCATGACGACTGCGAGCAGGTTCGTTGCTATTGAGTTACTGTTCCCTGTCATGGTTAGCGATATTCCCGGGAATTTGAAAGGGGTTTGGCGGTCCAACCATTGCAATCCCTGTGTTGCTTCGGTGTCTGTTGGGGGGGATGTCTCGGCGTGCCGCCACCCAACCGTTTTCTTCCAATTTATCTTCATTTCTGAAGCTAATTGAAAAGCTTGCATGACTCTCGTCAGTGCTTGAAATGAGGAGCCTGACGCTCTTATGAGCACCGTTAAGTCATCCGCGAACAGCATCACTGTTGGGAGTTGGAATTGGCCATTTCTTCCATCGTCCAAGGCTTGTAGTCTTTCTATCGAGGGGTCCTTCCTCAAAAAGGTGGCTATTGCCTCCATGACGAAAAGGAATATTGGGGCAGCCAGTGGGTCCCCTTGTCTGACCGACCTCGTCATTCTGTATGGTTCTGATAGGTGACCATTAACTTGGACTCTCCCAGTTGCGTTTGCGTATAGAACCTTCACCCATTTTCTAAAAGATGGTCCCACTCCCATTGTCTCCATGCATTGCTGTAGGAAGTCCCAATTTACCTGGTCATAGGCCTTTTCGAAGTCGAAGAAGAGTATCGCTGCTTGTAGTTTTTTGTCCCTTATTAGTTTAGTTGCCTCGTTCAGACAGATTACGTTATCTAGGATAAATCTCCCTGGGATGAATCCTGATTGGTCCATATGGAAGCATTTGTCGGTTACATTTTTAATTCTATTGGCTAGAGTCTTTGCTAAGATTTTATACGCTACTGGTAACAAGGAGATAGGTCTGTAGTTTTTGATGTCTTCCCTTTCCATTTTTTTGTAAAGTAGAGTTACTATCCCCGTGCTAACGTCTTCTCCTAGTCCTCCTTTCTTATAGGCTTCCTGATAAATGCGCAAGAGGTCGTTCCCTAGCAGTGGCCAGTGTTCTTGCCAGAATTCCTTTGTTAGCCCATCTATGCCTGGAACCTTGTTCGTTTGCATGGAGTCCAGTGCCCTATGTACCTCAGCTAGAGTGAGGTCTTTGTCTAGATAAGCTATTGCTTCTGGTTTGATACAGATTTCTAGGTGTCTCGTGAACTTGTCCCTTGCCCTCTTTATCTCTCCCCTGTTGTCGTTAGAGGATTGTGAAGTGTATAGTTTTTTGTAGAAATTTGTAGCTATTTGTGGCAGGTCTTGCTGTTGGCTTTTCAGTATCCCTCTTTCATCTCTCAGCTCAAGAATTCTGTTGTTTCTACAATTGGATTTGATTCCTTGAAAAAAGTATTTCGTCATGGATCCATTACACTACCAATCCTTTATCCTTGCTCTGATACTCAGGCCCCTTCTCCTCCCTTCTGCCCATTGGGCCAATTCTTCTTTTGCTGCTGATAGTAGGGCTTCGTACATTGGGGAGCCTGGGTTGTTGGTCAAGTTATACTCTGCTGTTTCCACTAAGGATTCTAGGAGTTCTTGCCTTTCTCCTCTTCTTTTGGCTTCTCTTCTTGATTCCTTGCTTAGTTCTTTACTTACGTGTTTTAGGGCTTTTCCGAAATTCGGGTGTATGTTTTCCTCTTGTATCTGTAGTGAACATTCTTGCCATGATTGTTTTACCGCTTTTCTGAAACTTTCCAACTTCAGTAAAGAGTTGTGGATTTTGAAGAAACTCCGACCTTGTTCGTTGTCTACGCCAAAATTCGGCATTAAGCCTATTTGTTTGTGATCAAAGCCTCCGTAAAAAGGGGATCTGAATACAATGGTAGCTAGTACGGTTCCAGAAAGCGATTCAGAGATTAAGAAAAAATCGATTCTGGAAAAGGATGTTCTTCCTTGTTGGGTTTTCCTAGTGCACGTGAATCTCCTAACTTCTGGGTGTCTTGTCCTGAAAGGGTCTATTAGTTTCTTCTCTGTAATAAGGTCTATCATTGCCTGCGCCTCTGATTCATCGTATGGATCTCTCGCGTGGGAAACCCTGTCAAGTAGCGGGTCCACCGTGGCATTCCAGTCCCCTACCGCTATGATATGTCGGTGATTCGGGCATTCTTGTTTGATTGTTTCTATTAATTCCTTTCTTTGGGCGTTCGTGTTTGGAGCGTATATATTCAGTAGTGTTATTTCCTCTTGCTTATAGTTAAAATCCATCCTTATCCATCTGCCCCATGTGAGATCTTTGGTCACTTGGTTTACTTGTAGGTGGTGTAGTGCCTTGGATTTTCCGTTGAGGAGGATTAGTACACCTGCCGAGGCTGAATTGGGACTGTTTACCCATTCAGCTCTCCCTACGTGTCTCAACCTTCTCTCTATTTCGTGTTGTATGGCTTTGTGTTCTTCGGAATCAGTGAGATGTGTTTCTTGTATACAAACTATATCTGGAGGGTCGTTGTCAAACCACTTGAGGTTAGCTGTTAAACTAAACCGTTTCGCTGGGGACGTTAAAATGGTGGCCAAGCCATGAACGTTCCATGATCTTATGTCTAACTCTGTTTTTTTCTTTGCCTTTTTAAATTCCCTTCCCCCCCCACCATTTTGTTCTCCTCTCTCGTCCATGCTTCAGTGTCTCCGCTTCCCCAGTTCTAAAGGTCTGGGTGTGATCAAGGGAAGGATGCTGACCTTATTTGCAAGGTCGTCTCTTCTCCTTCCTCCTGCAGAACCATCAGTTTGTCCCCCAGTTCTTTCTGTCCCATCCTATGTACTTTCAGGGCGAAGGTAATTGCCAGGCTTGCTGCTGGTAATTCTGCCAGTACGCTTGTGCCCAGGGCTGTATAAGGCAGCTGTGAGATTTGCCACCAGGGTCTCCATTGGAGACTACCTTTCAAGGAGGTTCCTGGTCTGAATATGGCCACAACTGGTCTTACATCAAGGGAGTCTTCTTTGTCGTCGTTCTCCCTTCCATTGGTGGTGGACACTCTCAGTATTGCACCTAACAATCCAATTTTGGTTGGTACTTTTTCTAAAACTGCAAATGTAAGCTTCTCCTTTATGCTTTGTCCCCTCTGGAGTCTGGGAAGGGCGAAGTTGGCTGCTGTGGCGATCTGCCACTCCTCTGTCAGTTCATCGAACATCATAGCCAAGATTGTTCTGGAGGGCAGGATCATCTTGCTTGTTGCTGCCGCCTTATTCCAGAATTCGGTCTGCGTGCATTCGTTCAGAGATCCCACTGTGACCGTTTTTAGCCTCATTTCTTCGTTCAAGTCTGCTAGTCTTTGGACTTGTGCTTCCAAGACTTCGGACTGTAACAAGAGGGATTCTCGCTCATTGATCTGTTCTCCTTGCTCTTGTTGCATCTGAGACTTGTTCCCGTTCTTGCCTTTTTCTCCTTGCCCCTTTGCATTCTCTCCTTGTTCTTTGCTTCCCTTTCCTTTGCCTCCTTTCGGGTTACCTTTCTTCTTTTCCTCCGCTTTCCTCTTTTTGTTATAGGTCTCTGGTAACTCGGGCATTTTGTATCTGTCCTCTCTCCATCCTCCTTCTTCTCTCTGCTCTTCACCCCCCTCTCTGGCCTTTTGCTTCCTTGTCTGGTCCTTCTTGATTCTACAATACTGTTGGGCGTAGTATTCGACCATTTCTTCTTCTTCGTTCAGAGGTTCGTAGGGGTTGGTCGTGAGTGGGATCTCGCCTCCTCTTGCCTTCTCCTCTTCTCTCACATAAGCCATATGTAATTCGAACATACTTGCCCTCTGAGCCTTCATTACTTGGATGTATTCCTTGATCTTCTCGATGGGTCTGTTCTCCCACTCTTCTTCCTCCTGCCCGTGATGGTATTCCTCCTCTGTTTCTCTTCCCATAGCTTCTTCTTTTGTGATTTCCTCTCCCTTTCTTTTTACCCCAATTCTCCTGTCCTCTGTCATTTTCACATCCTGTTCTCTTGTGTTCTCCTGATCTGCAGTGGTTTCCTTTCTTTGCGTCGTTCCTGAGTTCCCTTTGCGCGTGTATTGTATGCTGCTTGTTGCGTTGTTGGCCGCTGGGTCTGTCTGCATTCCGTTCGCTCCTCTTTCTTTGACCACTTCTGTCCATCTTCTTTCAGCCAGTTCTCCTGTTTCGTCTAGGTCCATTTGGAGGTCTCTCAACCTCCTCTCTTCCTGGACTCTTTGTTTGTTTAGAACCTGGTCTGTTGTGAAGATTTTGGGGGATTTTTTGCCTACATTCTTGGTTTGCCAGCTGTTGTCTGAAGGTGGGTAGATGTCTGGCCTTTGCGAGGGTGCTCCCCCCAGCACCCAGACCCAATCTGGGGTCTCCAGATTCTCGTTGAAAACCCATCCGATATATTTGGCATCCCTGACAAACCAGAAACCAGGCTCCCCCTCTACCTCTTCAAGGTTGGTCCATTTCAGCGGTTTGTTCCTTGCAGAGTCTGCGTTCTTTGGGCATCTTGGATCCGTTCCCATATGTCCTCTCTGCCTGCACTTGAAACATACTGGATTGCTTTTGGTAGAGACTTCAACCTTCACTGTTTGGTCTCTCACAGCAAAGTGCCAGAATTCTGGTAATTGCGGTGGTACTGCACCTTGGGTGTTCAAACATGCCATCATGGTGTCGTGTTGAGGTATCAGGAAGTCTGGTGTGGGTGTGATCCAGTCTATGATTGGGAATTGTCCGTACTCTTCCTGGAGTCTCGCCTTGATTGCACCGTGCAGTCCTTCCCTTATCCCGTCGAACTGGATCCAGAAGTATTTCTGCAACAGTTGCTGTCGGTATCTGGAGGGCGAAGCCTGCGCTGCCTTGGCTGGCGCCCAAGGGTAAACAGTAACCACTGACGAATTGCAGGTGAAGGATTTATTCCTGAGAAATTCGRTCTGTTTTTCATCTTTGCAAACAACCATTATCGTGTTCCTACCCCTGCTGTGGAAGGTTACTTTCCGATCTGTTCCTGGGATTGGTTCCATTTGCTTGAGTTTTTCCCATAACCACTTCAGTTTTTCTGCTCTGTTGAGTTCTTGGCTTTTCCTGGAGAAGGTGACGAGGACTGCATGTTTGGCGTAGAATTCGTCCAGAGATGGCAGTGACTCTCTTGGGTATTCCCATGCCACCACTTCTTCCTTTATTCCATTTCCCACGTCTACCACCTCCATTCTTTTGGTCATCTTCACCTTTGTTCTCTCCGCTAACCAATTMTGGGTTTCTATGCCYWGTCCTTCCTTCGCCATTCTTTTCTTTCTTGGCTCTCTTTCTTGACTCTCTTTCTCCTTTCTTAGCTGGTCTCCCTGGATCCCTCCTTCAGTCCTCAGTGTCCTGCCCGACTTGTTCTATTTGGCGTCTGCTTATACCTTGTGTTGGTTTGAGGTTTGTTGGGGGACAAGGTGGCGTTGATGTGTCCAGTGGTTCGATGATGGCGAGTGGGAGATGTTAAGGTGGTGCCTGTTGTTGGGAGTTGGAGTCGGGGCTGTTCTCTGGGAGGATGCGGAGAAGTGGAACCCTTGTGCTGGAGCCAGTCTCGCTGTCCCAACTTCAGGAGATGGGGTTGGGTCTAGGTAGATGCAGGTCAGAGGTTATCTGTCTGCATTCCCTTTCCCCATTTGGGGACGAGATTCGGAAATCGACTGGCGAAAGGGAGCTCGATTGGTGGAAGCGATCTAAAGGAAGGTTCGCGATTGCAGGTAGTGAAGTGAGAAAAAAAAAAAAAAAAAGGTGATGATAACAGTAATAATTAAATAATAATGAAGGCAATGGTATAGTACGAATAATCAACTTATTAATGCCAGTAATAATGTTATCAAAAGAATCTTGAAGATTGAAAAGTTCTTAGAAAGGGAGTGATGATGATAGTAATAATAGTAAAAGAATAATAATAAGAATGTAAAAGAATTGTTTGTGTTGATAATGGCAGGYAGCAAAAATTCTCTGTTCGTTCTGGTTCTCTGGTTAGTCCGTCTAACGGTAAGTCCGTCTATGGCAATCCTTCCTTTCCTCTTACGTTGGATCCCTAGGTTAGATCCCTCTCGCTTCTCTTCTCTAGCTACTCTCCCACTGCATTTTCTAAATCCTGAGCACTAAACTCAAGACGTCCGGATCACTCGCTACCCTCTCATCCTTCTACTATGGAGCGTTCGGTTCCCCTCTCAATACGCTCGCTACCCGCCGCTTTCGCTGCTCTCTCCTTACTCCTGTTGTGGGGTGTCCTGATCTCCCTCTGTTGCGCTTCTTACTACTTCCCGTTTTCTCCTATTTGGTTGTGTTGCTGTTTGGCTTGTCTTCCCTATTAGCTATGCTTTTACCTCCTTTTTGTCGCCTTCGACTCTCCTTGTTCGTTGGAGCCCAGTGATGATGCTTAGGCGAGCCTTAGTCGTGCGCTTACCTCAAATGGGATGGTTGTGTGAGCTTGTGTATCACCTTCCTTCTCGATTAAGAACTTGGTGTGCTTTCGCCTGTAAGTTGTCGTTTTCCTCTTCGCTGTCGTGTTTTCCTCCTGTTCTGAGTTGTTCTTTGTGTCTCCCTCCTTGCGTCTTCCTATTCTTCTCCTCTCCTTGTCGTGATGCCACACTATTTCTTCCTTCCTTTCTCCTCTCTTCCTTGGCCTCCCTACCTCCTCACACTTCTCTGCTTGGGTCATTCTCCTCCCTCCTTGTCTTTTTGGGTTTGGGGTTGGAGAGTGCCGCGCCCGTAGGCGCGGTTTTGCTAGCTCTGGTTTGTCGTATTCTTCTTGTCCCTTTCGCGTTCCCCAACCGCAATGAAGTGCAGCTTGGATTTCTTCGCGCGTGATGGCGTGTTCTCAACCCTTGAGCTTCCCCGTTATCGCTCTCCTTCTCACTTGCTGCGAAATTCCCTATTTGGTAGTCTCCGCTTTCCTTGTGTTTTTGCATTTATAATGTTGTCATTTGGTTTTGTTTTCCTTATGATCATCATCAAGAATAAGAGAACTGAGTACAACATATTCAACAATATCGCCATTAGGACTGAGTTGTCTCCAAAATAGGTGCACACTACATGAATATCGTCACCAGGTTCATTTTGAACCACCACTACCTCCAAGCCTGTTTTCCTGGTTGCAGTTTTGTGCTTCATGGCAAGTTGCGAATGGACTTGCACGGCGCTTGTTTTTTTTCTTCTCGTTGCGAAAGTTGGCCTGGGAAAGGTCCTGGTGTGTCAAATTTCCAGAATGAATGTTAAATTGGTAGAAGTTTGATCTCTCTCTCTCTCTCTCTCTCTCTCTCTCTCTCTCTCTCTCTCTCTCTCTCTCTCTCCCCCCCTCTCTCTCTCTCTCTCTCTCTCTCTCTCTCTCTCTCTCTCTCTCTCTCTCTCTCTCTCTCTCTCTCTCTCTCTCTCTCTCTCTCTCTCTCTCTCTCTCACACACACACACACACATTCATATTTTAAAGGAGACCACGTCGCAATCTATTCATGGGGAGGAACACGTGCTTCTCTGACAATTCAAGCAGAGTGATGCACAACTTCCACCCTGGAGAAACAAAACCGAACTTACTGAGAACCAGGCTCAGCGTCCCTCATGGGGTGACTATGATGATGATGATCCTGATGATGATGATGATACTACTGATGATGATGTTGATGGTGTTAAAAGATTGTATTAATTGTGATAAGCTATGCAATACCAACAGTTCCGATCTGCTAATCGTAGAGCAACTTCTAGCCCTCCCTGTACCAGGACATTGTAAAACAGAGACAATACCGACCTAACCAATGTCCCCCGTAGCTGATCTCTCCTCGCCACGGAGCAGCCCCCCCGGGTTCGCCAGTGGATTGCCTTCCCCCCTCGGCAACCCCCAAATCTCTCTACAAGGCCTCACACTCCTGTCTGTGCAGGTTACAGGGCAACGCCCCAGCTCCGGCCAGCGTCGTTCTGGCGGCGGCAAGACAGGGGCACAAAAAAGAACAGCTCTGCAGATATCGGTCCGGGTTCGACCATCCCCGAAATCCTAGATCCCGGATGTGGAAGAAAACTCGATGCTGCCCAAAAATTCCAGGACACCAGAAAGCTTAGTATAACATTGATGCGATAATGATACTGATGATGATGATGATGATGATGATGATGATGATGAAAATGATTATACCTTTTTTTTTTTTGAGAAATTTCTAAAGAAATTGACTGCACCACCTTTATTAGATCTAAAGGAGTGTGAATGCTATGCTATATCATCTATTCCGGCTTCCTAATCCGAGAGCAACTCCTAGCCCTCCCTATACTGGGACACTGCTACTCAAAGACAGGACCCACCAAAACAACATCAACCATAGCTGACCTCTTCTCGCCCCCGAGACTATCCTCGGCCCCAGAGGGTGTCAAGGCGGCCCCCCCAATTCGCCACTGGATTGCCTTCCTCCCTTGGCAAACCCCAGATCTCTCTACAAGGCCTCACGCTCCTGCCGTGGCAGGTCACAGGGTGAACACCCCAGCTCCGGCTAGTGTCGTTCTGAATTGGAAAGTTGAGAGCATAGAACAGAGCAACCATATTGATGTCAGTCTAGGTGCAACCATCTTTGAGGTCGAAGATCCTAATAAAGAGGAAGACCCACTGCTGCTCTAGCTCTCAGAACACCAGAAAGCTGAAAATAACATAATTGGTCCAAGAAGCTTCCAATAGTCACTGCGCAGAGAAAAATTCCCCCTACACCACCACCGCTGTCCCACGGTGCCACCGCCTCGGAGATTCACCTCGGCCCCAACCTGGAACAGATCCCCTCCCTCCCCCCTCCGCTAAGGCAACCAATTCCCACCTAGAGGGTGCCTTCGCCCTCCCCTTTGTCCCTATCTGCCCCCACCGGGGTTGAAGGCGACCAACTCTCCCACCCCGGCCCCAGACAAGGACAAACCACAAATCTGCCCCACTCCCGACAGAGCAGCCACCTCCCACCTTGCAGCGCCCCTGTAGAGTAAGGCTCCCCAACGCCCCCCCACCCATTCCCCAAAAATCCCCGCCGTGACCGCATGAACCCTAGCCCGAGATCAAATGAAGCAGTCAATTATCCTCAATGAGGATCTCATGATAGAGCATACGAAAAGGTAGATGAGATTTTTGGATTTTTGCTGATGATGCTGGACAGCACCCTGAAGATCATGATGATGAGTATGATGGTGACGACCAACTCACCTGCTGTTTGAAAACAAACCGATGATGATGATAATGTCGAGGATGGAGACTGAATGATGGTGCTGATCATGGTAAAGAGCGGCACCAACAACCCCTGTGAATACAAACTGATGATGATGATGATGATGGTGATGATGGTGATGATGGTGATGATGATGATGGGGATATCGGAAATGATTGTGATGGTGATGATGGCTGATGCTGATGATGCTGACGCACAGCGCCCTGTAATGACAACAGGATGATGATAGTGGTGATGGCGAGCATCACTGATGATGATGATTTGATGACAGCGATGATGATAGTGGTGATGGCAAGCATCACTAATGATGATGATTTGATGATGACGATGGTGATGATGATGACACACAGCGCCCTGTGATGACCGAGGAATGATGATGGTATTGATGACGAGCATCTTTGATGTTAACCTGACGATGATGATGTTGCTGATGATGGCGATGATGATGATGATGATGATGATGATGATGATGATGATGATGATGCAAATGATGGTGTTGATGACGAGCACCTCTGATGATAGTA